TTAAAAAAATATAAATACAAATAAATAAGCAATTCCTCGTATTTATAATAAAGCTATTATTGAAATAATATCATAAAAATATACGTTTCTTGCCCAATTATTTCCCGCATTTACATTAATGCAAATTAGTGGATACTCTATAATTACCGATTTTATCATCTCCTTATAATAACACAAAGCAACTTTTAGTTCACTTCCAATGTGTAAATTGCAAATAAAATAAGGTCAAATTACGTTATGTTATACATACATGTATTTACTTCTCGTTTCCCTCCACAAACGTACGTATATGTAACTCTGCACGACCATATATTCAAGCATTTTGAGGAAACGCTATGAATAATAAAATATTAACAATAATAATAATGCACGTAGGAACCTTATCGTATTTACAGTCGACCTAAGCATACATGTCCTACATTATTGTATTTAACAATGTTTATTGTTTTCCACTCTTCATTTTTTCGCGCAATTTATAGTTGTCCGTTATATTTGCTTATTGTGTATATTCATTAAAACATATAATGGTTTAAGCACTTCCAATGGAATGAATCATAATGTAAAATGAAATCAGCGATATTAAACATATTCGGTTTATATTTGATCTTCGCAGCTCAAATTCCTATAATTGACTAAAGCTTCCTTGTTTATACAATATCTCTTCTAATAACTTACAAATAGGCCAAACTATTACTACTACTACTATTTTTAAACCAGAATACTAACCATTCTTAATTTGCGTTACAAAATAACAATTTAAACTTCTACCAAGTCATTATAATTAAATGTTACAATCTAACATTATTTAAAAGTATCAAGATAGATATAAAAATAGTCCAATATTTTAGACTTACTACTTGAAAATGTATACTACAACTAATTTATTGAATATTTATTTGGCAATACTTTGTAATCTGCAATGGATAATAATTAATACTTTTAAATATTAAATTATTTAAGAAGCATACATAATATCTGTATATACGAAATTTGCGACGAAGTGACAGAAGACAATTAAAAAAGTGTATGTAATGAGTATATTTAATTAGTGAAAGTAAACATAGCGAATGTAAATATAGCATGTTTAATTGGGTCCAATTGATATTGCGCTGAATGCAATCTGTACTTTATTTCCAATATTAACGAATGACATGTTGTTTTTCCATTACGCTCTCCAGTTAATTGAAATTGATTCTCCCAGATTTCGCCATTCGCCACACGTCCGTTAATTATATCTACTTTGCATGAGATGAAAACTTTCAAACAGGATGGGCGTATTCAATAAAAAAAAAACGTAACATAAATACAAAATTATTATTCGATTATGAAAAATTACCCATAATTGTATTAAAATGTTTTTAAAGTAAATGAGCTTATAACCTAATTGAAGTATTGCTATAAAAAGAACTAAGTGTAAGTGCATATATTTTATTTATTATTTATTTTGACATACTTATGGGTCATATTCTGACCCTATATTTTTTAAATCGGTGACAATCGAAATCCCGACTGTATCAAAATCCCGACTATATCGAAAATGTCTACAATAACATTTTTTAATTAATGACTTTTAAATTGTTATTAATAAATAATAACAATCTAATTGTATTTGAGATTATTTCGTAATGTTAAGTTTTATAATGAATAAATCAACAAAATCAAATAAATTAATAATAATTTATTGTTATTAATACTAAAAGTGTAGCACAAGGTGACTAAGCTCCGAAATAATTTAATAATGTTATTGTAAAATTTTTCGATATAGTCGGGATTATGGTTGTCGGGATTTTGATACAGTCGGGATTATGGTTGTCAGGATTTTGATACATTCGGAATTTCAAACGTCTGGATTTCGATACAGTCGGGAATTCAGTTGTCGGGCTTTCGATATAGACCTCTGGCGAATATATATATTTATGTATCATGTATGTTGTATGTTGTATAGACTTCAAATCAGATAATAGTTGGTACATTTGTAGGTGACAAAGATCTAAAACCATTTTGTTATGAGTAAATCCATCATAATAAATGAAAACAGGTTTAAATCATGTTGAACATAGACTAAAAAAAATTATCATCTCTTGTATAAATATATCTAAGAAATGTCACGATTAATGATTCATCAAAATATGATGAACAAATATTTAACTATTATTGATATTTATAATTAGCATAATTTCTACAATATATATTTCCGGTGTACGGTGGAACCTCGCTTAACCAGCAAAATAGATTGTAAGAAAAATGAGTCCAAAATGGAACGCATTATCGTATATTACATTACTTTATATGGGCGAAAAATGTTCACTATACGAGTAAAAATCTGGAAATTTTGGAACGGATTATGCGCGAGTTTCCACTGTATTTCTATTATAATATGAAATGTAATCCATAATTTATAGATCATTAACAGGAGTGATTAATTATAATTAAAATTATCAGTTGGTTTATTTAGAATAAAGCTGTTTCCTCAAAAAAGTTCAAAATACGTGCCTAATCTAATTGACAATAAAATAACTCCGGTTTATATTGATTCACGTTCGAGTAGTGGTGGAATTCAAAAGGAACTTTCTAATACACTTGATTAGATCGCACAGCAATTGTTTGACGCCACGATAGGTAGTAATAATTTGCAACACAAAGATTTTTAGAGAAAAGCGATAATTAAGCGAGACTATATAATTAAAAATATACGTTGAATGTGTTTATTTTTTTTTGTAATATGCATTATGCTGCAGACACAGATTTTTCAACTAAATCGATTATAATTATAATGAATATGCTTTGATTAATTAAACTTTGGATTATTAATAAGGAAATTACAAATGGGCACCGTTAATTACAGAGAGTAGAGTATCGTTGTTTCGTTTATTCGTAAGTACACGTGTGTGTATGTGGAGAAAATAAAGTGGAGGATATCAAGAGCCATTAGCACCAAGAGTCATCAATTAATCATAAAACACTAGTCCCTGGTCCGCCTCCTTTATAAATGATGTGTAATTTAGAAAAGATTACATGCTTTATAAAGAATATACATTATTAAATCACCCACTAATCGTTCCAACGGCCGAATACAAAAAGTACATGACAATATAAGTCTGGTTGATGGGGAACGTCTTCAGCCCCGTTCAAAAGGTATGTATACCTACCAGCAAACACTCCGCATTATGTTATACACTACCTCTCTACGACCACTAAAAAAAAGAGGAAGAAAACGAACTCGTTAAGAGGAGCCCGTCAGCGTTCCCCAGACAATGAAATATTAAACTAATTGTTTTAATAGAAACAAACGCATCTCTAGTTCCTTCTTTTTATCACATCACCTTGACTAGTATCCAATTTATAATTAACAGATCTTATTATTATTGACGTGCGGGATCACGAAAAATTAACAAAGAACGATTATTATTTCGTTCACACAAACCTCGCTAATTATTGTATTTATATTTAACATTAGAACAGTACGATTCTGACTCACAATAAACATTCAAACACAATTTGGAAATCCACATATAAAATGATTTTATTAATACTGGAAATTACAATTTTAACATAGGTTAATAATTATATACATAAAATTGGGAATTTAGGAATTTGCGCACAATTGTAATCAATTTAAAACCAATCCCAAAATTAAATACAAATTTACTGTATTGAATTATATTGTTCGTTACTTATATAATTTTTAATAAGTTTATTCTATCTGTCGTTCATGTTCAATTTTGTTAAATTTTTTGTTAAGTAAGTTGGGCTGATTTGTGAAACGTTCTATAAATACTTCGCAGAAAATGCAAATGGTTAAACCTTTGAGGACTCCGAGTAATGAATAATGGATCATCCGGCAATATAATATAATCTCTGGTGCGCTCTTTGATCTTACACAAATTGCAGTCCCAATTTTCCATTCATTGCTTAGTGAATACTAAGTAATTAGTCGTTGCATGAATGCGAAATTGAGACTCAGTGAAAGCAAACATATTGCTGTGATGTCGATGTCGATGTTTGGGAATTAATAATATACATAGCGTATTTACTGCACAGCAAGCTGTGGCATTCCAAAATGTACATGAAATCAATTTGATCACCATCATGTGCAACTGATTCACACAGCGCTGCAATATTTATATAACCAATTATTGGCAGATATAAAGTTTATTGCTGATGCAAGAAATAACATTTTAATAGACACTCATAATGTTTTATTTAAATAACGCGATTGCTACGAATATCCCATACATATATTGCAGTTGTTTATACAAATTTGCGTGTGTTGCTAACCGATGGAAGAGTAATAATACATTTATTTCGAACATTAATAATAGAAAACGACGTACGTGAGAAATTATGGCCATTTCAATAATTCTTTATCGACGATAACAGTATTTGCATAAAACTGAATTTGCTGATAATTTTGTTTTCATAAATTCGAAAATAAATTACATGCAATTTATAAATTGTAAATACTGTAAATAATTGCACGACTTTTCTATAAATTCGTCGAACAATATATGCAGTGGAACCTCGATTAGCGAGTTTAATTCGTTCCAAAATTTCCAGATTTTTACTCGTATAGTAAAACATATTCAAAAATACACATAATATGTGTACACAGGTTTTGAAAATGATGCAGCAGGCGCTCAATCCGAGACTTCTCTTCTCATCATCACTCGTTATGCGAAAAGTAGCTCGTTGAGCGAGTCATTTTTTTACAATTCATTTTGCTCGTTATGCGAGGTTCCACTGTATATGTATATTTAGTGCAGTCTTTTGGATTTTGAGGCCTCATACATAAATATGAAGTGGGGCCCGCAGTAATTAAAAAAGAAATATATTATGAAAAAACTTTAAGTATAAAATATTGGTGATTTCTGATTTGGAGATTCAACTAACACTCTTTGGGGGCCCATCATTACATCTACTTTATATATATCTACATGAATTCAAGCTATTTGTAATATACAAACTAAGTATATGATATGCAACACAACAAGCACAAAACATGAGAGGTTGGTAACATACAGTTCCATTGTTTTATCAGCTGTTTGTCAAATATGAGCAAATAAAAATGATTTGTTTTTAATCGCATGTTTTCGATACAAAGAAATTGTTAAATGTTCCATTTTGATAGCTACGACTGAGTATTCAAGTAGTGCAGTTCCTGAAACATTCTGAAAATAATGGTAATTAGTAGAATTTCATTTCATTGAATTTGTCTAATTGTGTAGATTATTATTTTAGACAATGAAACCAACCGCGCCTCCTCATTTAAGCAAAGAGATGCTAATAGTCTGGGAAACATGGAGTCTGAAGGATGACAGGAAAGTTGTTAGGGAGTCTGCAGCAAAAGGACATCACATAGGCTTGGCCCTAACTTATCTATCACAAAGAAAATTATTAGATTATAATGAAACAAAGGATTGGTTCAACAAAGAGGTAAAATGATTTCTATTTCAATGAAATCATGATTGTAATAATCATTACAGGTGCTAGAATGGTCCATGGAATTGTTGCAAAATAAACAGGTGTTTCGGGTTTCACACATATTAAAAAACATTAACCTAGATCCAATGCAGGAAATAAGTAAGATATTCCAGGAAACTGTTGATTCTGACTTACGTGATTACTTGGGCAAACATCTTGAGAATGCTGGAAAACTTGATGAGACATTGAAAGAGTCATGGCAACTTCTGTTAATTATAGAAGAAAACTTTAGTACATTGTTTAAATTGAAACAGGAAACTGAAACTATAAATATTCTACTTATCAACAATAAAAGTTTGGATTGGAAACATGAAATAGTTGCAGAATTATTTTTGAAGAATCAGGGTAAGTTTAGAAATATTTTATTTTGTTTTTCTTTCATTTTAAAATGGATTATTTTATAGATTTTAAACTCCAACCATTATTGAATAACAAATTTTTATGGGAGAAAGCATTAAATTCACATAATTACCGTTTTATATGCAAATGGATAGACGTTATATTTTCAGAAAATATCGATGATAGTGAATTAGGCGCTTGTCTCAATAAATTAAAGATTACTACGGAGTTAATTGACGAGTTTTTTATGAACTCAAACATTAAACAAGAAACCAAAAGTAAAGTATGCAACAAGTTAGCACAATACGGAATGTTTTGCCCCGAAGAACAGTTGGACGCAGTAAAAATAATTTCTCGCTTAACAGACATTCAAAGTTTACACTTGCTGCGTTCGATTCTTAGTAATAAATATTCCAATATGTGTTATACTCAGTTCCTAAAAATATTGTACGACTACTGCGAAAGCAATGAACTTTACGGTGTACTAGATATTTGTACGAAAGACATGACTATTTCCTCACGAAACAAACAAATAGAATTAATTGAAACATCACGAATAATATGTGAAAATCCAAACGATAAAGAAGCTCTGAAAGATAATCTCATGTTTAATATAAACTACTTGCAGGAAGGCTCAACTATAGAGTCATTGATAGTGCTTTTTGTTTTGATACTAAGTGAAAATAATTTATCCCTAAACTTGTGGGACGGAAATACCGGCATTAATTTCGATAAGTTACCTGTATTAAAAATCATCTTAAATAAGTTTATGAATAACAATGTTTCGAAGCATATAACCATGTACGACTTGGCCAAGCGACATTTGATGTTAGATACGAAAACCTTGTTTCAATTCCAATTTGACAAAGAATATGAGTTGCCTTACTTTAATCAGTCGGTATTAGTGAATAAGTATGGTTACAAAAAGTCAGTGGATTGTAAGTTTTATCTATCGCATTGTAGACCAAGCGTTTGCAAAGATACAATGGACTTTCATAAGCTACGCAAGTTCACTATTCAAAATTTTAGTAACAAACAAATCGTAAGTTCTTGCATCGCATATTTGGAAATGCGAGGAGAAGATTCTGATTTTCTGAGGCACGAAATTTTTGCGGCGAACATTTTGCACAGTAATGGACATAGTGAAGATAAGGTAATTGAACTGTTCCTTTATGGAAGTAAGTTTGAAATAATGGAGATTTATGAGAACATACTTTGCGGAGAGATTAATTTATCCACAAGCAGCGACATTATTGATATTATGCATAAACAGGATATCTTAATTAAATTTGCTGAACTCAATAAGCTGAATATGCCAGAGGTTTTGTTAATGCGAATAGCAAATAAGAATCTATGGCTGCCGTTTTTAATAATCATCCAAAAATATAATTACACACAGGAACACGTGGCCAGATTAGTTCAGAACTTTACCAGTGTCAATATGATAGAACACTTGAGTCACTGCTTGATGCACGACATCCATTGGGAAAACAAGAGCTCGCTAATGAAAGATCGCGATTCTCGGAAATATTACCTCTCCAAGATCGGAGTCAGGAAAAACATCGATAACGAAATGGTCTCCAGCATCACGTCGCAATCCAGTTATAGTAGTACCTCAAGTAGCACCGGGATATCAGAGTTCCTCGAGTCCGAAAACTTTGACGCAAAATGTGATTTATTACAGGTATTGATTAAATGCCACAACAGCAATGATCCACCTAAAGCATTGCTTCAGGCATGTCAATATTATAAGTACCCGTTATTTGCAGTACTTGCTACCAGTTATGAGGTCATTATAATTATTATTGTAACTAAAATGTTTGTGGTTTTTCATATTTCTTTCATTTCTTAGCCTGATTCTGTGATCACCAATTGGCTAGTTTGGCTTTCAGTAAGTTGTAATATGTTTGATACAATTAATTTTGAACATACTGCACTAATGGGCAATTGCGTTTCGACCTTTATACAAGACATCTTACGTGATGGTTTTCATCGCACTCTCCTGATGAGTTTCCATATTTTTTTACCGGTAAGATAAATGATTACCATTTGAACATATTGAAAATTAAATTTTTCAGAAAAATCCGTTGAAGATATACATGAGCTTTATATGTGACTGTATCAACTTTAATTCTGTTCGTACGGAAAATTTGGAGGAATATTTCAAACTGTTAAAATTGAAACGAAGCAGCAGCGTATGCGGCCAAATCGATCATGATATGATGTATTTGCAGTCGAAGGATTGGATTGAAAACACGTCGATAGCATTGACTGCTGCTACTTTGCAAACCAGCTTTTTGAGCTACTACCGTCGCATAGAGTTCATGGAAACATTGGTTCAACTCAAATTAGAGAACTACTTCACCAGTTTTGTTCCCAATTTTCAAAACCTGCTAAAGATATTCCGATGCCTCTGCAATAGTCAAATTGTGACTGATTTTGATTTTATTCGCGCATTTCGTTCGGAGAGTGATTATAAAGCAGAGATATTCAGGCTTGTCGATACGCTGTCTTTGCAGAAATTATTTGACGATGCCTTGGAAATAGCCTTAATAGAAAATATTATGAGCGACTCGATATTGGTTAGGAAGTGGGAGAATAATATAAAGAATTCGCTTGTGGAATGCGACGAAGAATTTGAAAAGTTTAAAATCTCACCGGAAAGAGCTGTGTCGTTTTTCGAGCAATATAAAAGTGATTATGAAATACTTAAGCTGGCATACAAGTGGGCCTACCGGCATAATTTGCATAATGTTACTGATATAGAGAAAGATTATTGGTTGGCTTATTTGAATTGCGAGAACTGTGAAATTTATTATATAAAAAACTATTCATTGGCTTTTGAAGAGATAAGTCCAATAATAAAAACTTGCGAATTGATACCTCACGAACAAAATAAATTGAGCGAAGCTATAGACAAACTTTTGGAGGCCGGTGAAGTTTATCAAGCTTTCCAAGTTGGAAAATTGTTTAATTACTTTAACAACAATCTGGAGATTTTGAAAGTATGCTTGGATTTGGCGGAAGGAATCACATTGCCATTCCAGTTAACAGCCAAAGAAAGATTATTAATGAAAAAGGTCGGATGCACGCGCAGTTATAGCCACCGAAGACGACCATATCTGACATCTGTAGTATCTAGCTACAGTTCTCAGTTCTCCAGAAGTCCAGGAATGAACACAGTCGAATTCGAGTCGAACAATCTCGATTCTGTATCGCAGTTGATCGAAAATTTGATTGAAAACTTGAAGAGCGGTTTGGAAGTGGGCCAAAAGATTTTAATGACATACAGAATTAGTGTTAACGTCGAGAAGAGCTATCGAAATATTTTAGAACTCACCAATCCAATGAATTTACTACTGGAAGTTGTTAATGGCGACTGCGTTAACAAATTGGAAGTCATCCAAGATTTCAGTATGCTGTACAAATGGAACAGGCAACAAGTAATGAGGGTAATTCATTTTAGCAGATTTATTATTCGACTATTTTCAGATCGCAGATTTCCTCTGTGAACAGATTATACTGACGAGTCAGAGATACTCGCACAACAACGTTGAAATGAATACATTGTGGGGGATTAATTTGGACAATGATATTCATGTGTTGCTACAACTCCTACCAGACACTTGTACACTACTAGGAAATAAACTGTACTATTACGCAAGTGCTTTACTAAAGGTTCAATGCGAGAATCCTGATTTAAACGAGATATCTCATATTATTGAATTATTGATCAGAGCTCACGATTGCTACACATCCGATTGTAACATGGAAGGAATTTCGATAATTCTTAAGAAATGTCAAACATTATTTAATATACTTTTAACGATGAACCATTGGAATTTCATAATTAGATTACTAACAGGTATGTATTATTTAAATATTTTTGTATTTAAATAAAGCGTATTTATTATTTTAGGTATTGCAAGATACGCAGAAATGAATTACGTTTTCCATATATTACGTGAAAACGGGCAGTTTGAAAATCTTCTGCGCAAAGGTAAATCGAAAAGGGATAACGGTTTGAAAGTTGCATTACTCGAATATCTGAAGAGATTTTGCCCGGACAACCGCGATCTGTATAATATGGTGGCCTTGCATTTTTCGTTGTATTCAGAAGTCGCACAGCTTTGGGAAGTCGAAAGCGAAAGCATTCTGAGGAATCTTATAGCCATCTCCAAGTTGGAAATGCAAAATAGGAAGACCGACCCGGATTCTTGTTTGCTGGTCGAATTGACTAACACCGAAGGGACGAAAATTTGCTTGACAAAGGTAACAATAAGCTTAATAGTTATAATTCGTACAATAATAAAAATAAAATAACAAGTTTACTGTTGCAAAGGACTATTGGTCATAGGTCTTTCTGCACTATAGTTGTAATTATTTTATTAATATTAATTAATTTAATTTTCAGGCAATGGAGAATTACAGTCATGCAGCAGAATTTCATATGCAAGGAGAAAAACTAGCAAAAGCAATGAACGCCGCTCGACAGGCTGAACTAATTGCATTGCAATTTTCCTTGCTGAAAAATATCGCTAACAATGGAGTAACCATCTGTCTTATCAACCTAAATACCGATCAAATATCTTCAATTCTTCTAAAAACTTTAAGGTGTGTTCAGATCTTCTTCGTAGCTCATTAATTTTTATGTACACCTTTTCAGTTTTCCTCAAGCTTTAATATTGTCTGAGGCATACAACTATCAAGTGGATTGGGCTCAAGTATTGTTTAAACAATTTATTATGCGAAATCAGACCAACTACCTGGTAAATTTTGTAAATGTCTTCAACATAACAGAGGATTTGGCTTTTGATATATCTCGAAAATTTTTGACCAGCAATTTGAACGAAGAAACGGCTCTTAATAATATGAAAATCATCTTGAAACTATTACCATCTGTGCATGCCAAATATCGAATTGCCAGTGAATTGGGATTTATCGATCTAGTGGAAGAGTTGTTGAATGGTAACCGATTAATTTACCTTAAAGATACCGTTTGGAAAAGAGGATATAATGAATGAAAATGTGATACAAATTCTATAGTTTAACTTTTATATTTGTTATTTCTCATATTTATATGTATATGTTATTGAATTATTGTAAGATATATAAACTGTAAACAATTATTTTGGTAGTAATAGTAATTATTGCTATTATCCAGGTTTTTTTTATAAATATATCCACTGCTTCTGTACTTGTCCACCACACAATGGATTATAATATTGGTAACATTCTGACCTTTCGTAACAGATTTTATGATAGAAACGACCATTTAATTTGATATTCATTGATATAAATCTCTTCCGGCCCTATTTCTATCCCTTTCGGGTTTAACAGCCCCCACAATTTTTTGTTGTTTTTTTGGGAATTGAACCAACGACCTTTCGTATCGGATTTTCGTAATACAGGCGTGTGATTTCGTGATTTAGAAAGTAATTTTCATAGAATATCTTTGAGGCTCAAACAACTGAACGCCACTGGATAGACGGTCATCAGAATTGTATAGATGATTGCATACGTCTTGTGAAACCGTTAAATCTGTTAAGGTTTGAAATTAGTTTGTTTATTTTATGTAGTTTTCCTATAAGAAAGGTAGTAAAATCCACAAAAGAAAAGCAGACACATGCGATGACTCAAGCTAATGCAAGTTGCAAGCTAAATGAAATTCGAAATATTTAAGTATAAAAACTAACCTATAATTTTTATGTTTATAAAATGGGTACATTAATAAATTTATTTTTTGTTAAATAGACATTCACAATTTTCGTTTTTAGATAATGACGATAAAATTATTGAACTTGCCATTCTTAGACGTTCAAGTTCTTTGAAGAAGAGGTTGTTGGGTTTGGTGCAAAAAGAAATTAACATTTTGGTAAGTCAATGTAATTATAATCAAACAATAGGAATACATGTCTTATTTTAGGAAAATATAGAGTACACAGTATCGAATAAAAATAAGGTACAGGAATTAGAAAATCTAATAAATAGATGCAATGAAGTAACAAAAACGGAGCCAGTTGTATGTAGTATTTTATGTATGAAGAAAGAAAATTATTTCATTTTTTTTTTCTAGAGTGATGACAGATTATCTGCAGTAAAGGAGGAAACAAGAAAGAAATTAATATTGGAAAAGTTAAAGAAATCTGAAAATCATCAGTTTTTACTTAATGTCTTGTGTAATACTCTGTAGATATTTTCGAGGGCATTTAATCTGGGCATTATATTCTGAAACAGAAATATGTATATCTAGTGTTAAAAATAATGTCACAATACCTACAGTTAACAATGGAAATAACTTGACTTCATTATTATTTATAGATAGGGTCAACACATACAGGATACGTTGCTGAAAATTGGACACTTATTTATTATATGCTTTTAATGTGTTTAGGTAATTATCAGACCTGTGAAATTACTTCATTAATAAAAATTCCATTAATTGATTCCCACGGGATGAATGTGCTTTGATTACTTAATAAAGACTTTATTTGGATCTGAACACCAATATTTTTTAATACCAAGATACTTTCTACAAAGGATATTTGATGAATTCACACTAAAAATTTAAGTTAAAATTGTATACCTTCACTCAGTCCACATGTGAGGTTATATGTTAAAATAATGATAAAGAATATTGGAATTGTACTTAAAAGTATTGCAAATTTGATTGCAAAGAGTAACAAAATAATATTAATAGTTATTAATGATATTTTTAATGTGATGTTCTGACTCCATGTTTTTATTAATTTGATTTCTATTCCTTCTTGGAAGTGATTCATTTCCATATTGACGAATCTACCATTGGTGCACTCAAAGCTTTCCACATAAGTTGTTGCTTTCATTATTATATATAATAATTAAAGAATGAAAAACTGTTTATTTTGTTGTTCAACACAATAAAGATGAAGTTTGCCGCATTTGTTTAGTTGTATTTGAACAACTTCATTCAAGTTGACGATTACTTAATTTCTGTTGATTCTATGAATCATTTAATTTGCGTTATCATTTATTAGAAGTAAAATTTATTGCATAATAATATGAGTAATAGATAAGATGATGTTTGGATATGTATTGAAGGGCTCCTATTTTGCAATGGTATATTTCTGAAATTTTGAAGTTGGTCGTAACAAACATAATCTTTACTACACTTTCCAAGATTCCCATTGATCAAGCAGTAGTCACCTTTTCGAAAATGCTTGAAACCAATCTGCTTGCACTTCTTTCCAACGCAGAAAGTATGCAGAACGTCCACGTTCATTTTCGAAAAGTTTGGATTTTTAAATATAGAACCGAATGCAGTTGAGTTCATTTTCAGAACCATTTTCGTGGCCTCTATTGCAGATACGCATTTGCCGTTTATATTACAGCACGTGTAACATAGCGACTTTTCATTATTCTTCTCGCAAGCACATTCTGTAAGATGTATTCTGGCACATTCGTTGCTGACGCATGTATTGTTGAAACACGCGCCATCAATGCCGCAACTCTTTTTCTTCGGAGCGCACTTTCTCTGGAATTTTTCACAACTCTGAAACGTATAGAAAAAAACCTGAATGGAATTTTTACCTGATTAAGATATCATACCAATCCTAGATGGGATACATCCCTTATTTTACAGGATAAGGAGCAGCACAGACCTTGGGAAGGATGGCAATTGAAACCACCTTCTCTATTTACTGAACATCCACCGTAGACATTAAATGTGCAACATTTATCAGTAAGCAAGCAGTTGTACATCGATCCGCAATCGCACTCTTCTTTTCCTTCGACTATTCCTAAGTTGAGAAAAATGTATTTTTGTTAAAAGTATTATTTTATTGGTGATTATACCATTCCCACAATAGTGTCCCTTTGAGTTTTCAAAACAATAGCGATTAGTTTTCAATACGCTGTACATGTTGTCTCTGGAACGTTTCGAAAATGTGAAGCTCGTCGGCTTCAACACCCCCGTGGATTTGGCAGACATTAAGTAATATTCTTGATTGATATCGTGAAAACTTCCAAAGCTATGTCCGAGCTCGTGAGCTAAGGCAATGTCGTTCAAATCTTGCCTAACTATTTCGCGATTTCCGTGGAAGTACGAGATCACAAGTGCGTTATAGTATCTGGAGCATATGCCACCTCCGTAAAAATTATATGGCAGTGCAGCATAGCTGACACCCACTACATTATTCTTGAAAGATTGAGCCGTGAAAGCAATACCCAGACAGACGTCTTTCAAGTCCGGATGCAATGCAAAACTTTCAAGGTACATTTTGCTGTTGATCATTTTATCGTTGTATTTTGGCACATTCTTGGTATTGTTTGATGAGATACGTTTGATCCTGAAGCCGATATTATCTGGATACCCGTCACTATTGAAATCAGTGCTTCTAAATATAGAATTAACTCTTTTCACAGAAGAAACCGTAAGGCTTACGCAATATTTAATATCCGAATTGCAGATCTTCTTGGTGAAAGATTCGTCCATAAATATGTGCAAAGTGCATATATTCCTAAATCAATTAGTTAAAATACATCCATTATTAAAACTACAACTTTACCCTTTGTTGGAAAGCACCTTTTTCTTATTGCGTATGAAATCATAAAACGAGCCTAGCCCAACAAATTTGCGCTTGTAAATAAGCGATTCACCATCTTTAGCTTTGCGCAGCTCTGGAAATTTGTTCATCTTTTCAATGTGGTATAGATTGTTTTCTAAGTAGACTATTCCGTAGAATGTGTCAACATCCAGGAAGCCGTCCACAAAACTGCTATTCAAGTGATCTTCAACGTATCCTTCGACAAATTTTAACACGAGTCGACCAGTCGAGATTCCGGCATCGTAAATCTCTGTACCTGAGTTCATGAAATTCCCAAGCCAATCGTAAATCCGCAAGCATAGTATAAGCTTTGTACCATTCAAATTTAATTGTAAATACTTGTATCCGGACGAGTCATGTTTGGAGAGTGCTTCTATGTTTTTACTTAAATTTGTAGATGTGATGTAATATTTATTTAGTGATAGTTCTTTCGGGTCGAGGGAAATGCATAGAATAAAAGTGATTGGCCAAAGAGTCACCAAAATTCGTTTTAAATCCATTAATTAGAAAGTCCAATTTTGACAACACAATACGAATAATATGTAAAAATGTCAGAACATCAATAATTGGTAACCAAATTTAATATATGTCTAACATATTAGGCTGAGTATTATATAATGGTCTGAAAATAAGCAATATAATTGGTACTTTGTTAATAAAATATAATTTTATTAAATAGAGCCAATAAAAATTTGTAAACAAAATATTAAATTTAAAATTTCAATTTTTATCAGTTTGGCCAACTCTGAGAGGCATTCACAAACGATTTCTCTTGTTTAAATTTTTGCTTAATATTATTAATAATAACTACTAATTATTAATGCTTCTGAAGTCACGCTTTTGACGTTTGTAATGTATTAATGTAAGAGAAAGAGGTCCATCTGTGAACGAGCGACTTTTTGAATTTGGCGCCATGGTGCGCGTTGTCCTTGCGTTTGCCCTTGTGAACCCCTTTTAGCGTTGTTGTGAATTCAATATGGCGATAATTAGTGTTGTGTCCGCCAACAAAAATATATCGATGTATCGTTAACAACAACGAATAATTAAGTGAATAAATACACGGTTTTCTGCAGATTGGGTCTTCCCTACATGCAAGCAAGAAGAGGATGTTGGGTTGAAGGCAGCTTATAAGGTTTGCGGTGGTAAATAACAGCGTGTTTGGACTTAAAATCGTTTCGGGCAACATTCGAGGAGGCAAAATCGGGAATTTCGTGTGAGATTATCCAGCCGAATAACATTGTGATACAGGTTTGTTGATGTTTTAGTTGTGCTCGGCGAGTCAGCATCACCACCAATATTTAGGTTATTTTTCTTCAACATTTAATTGACGTTTGTTTATGCTTACTCAAGCCAAACATTTGTCATTTACGTTCCGTTTTTTTTTTTCCTTCATTCTCTTGACGTTTTTTTTTAATCGTTTTCCTTCGTGCGTCAATTTCCACCGTGCATTTACTGGACTCTTACTCTTGTTTTTTAATTGCTGAACCGCCGCGGCTCAATTTAATCGCCTTGTTAAAATCCCCCCAGAAAACTACATCCTGGGTGTATATAAGCAAATCAGTTAAGGCCAGTGGACTTTTTTTGTTATAACAATTTATGTAAATATCAGGTCCCATGAATAACCTAGAAATCTGCTTTTGATCACAACACTTGATCCCAAATTCAGCATAAGTTAATGTTAATATTAAATGATCATTTCAATCATGATTATGGTAGTTTTCAAATCTAAACAAAATTTTCATTTTCTTAACCTTACATATTCTAATTATGATGCTTGCTTTTTCATGTGTGTAATAGCATATTAACTAGCTCTGACTCACATAGATATCTATTACAAAGCATAATACTACAGGAGTTATATCACTATTTTTTTCAAGCTTTTTGCTGTGATGTTTTAGCAATATTTAATTACTGTTTAAATTTCATTTATATCTAAATTAAATCTGATTGTGTTGGATTAATTATTGTGAGTGATAATATTTGAAAGTTCATAATGATTGTCTCAAAAACATTTAAATTCTTAATTACACATTTCTTATACACATAATTATATATATTAATATCAATTTTTGTTTTGATTTGTTTCTTGTAGACGGAATGTGGGACACATTAAATTGTAAAATATTATAATACAGCAGAGAAAATGACAGACACTAGAAGGAGAGTTAAGCTGTATGCTTTGAATGCAGACAGACAATGGGACGATAGAGGTACGGGGCACGTGTCCTCCGCATACGTGGATCGGCTGAAAGGAATATCGTTGCTTGTGCGAGCTGAGAGCGATGGATCTTTGCTGCTGGAGTCAAAGATTCAGCCAGACACAGCTTACCAGAAGCAACAGGACACGCTCATAGTGTGGTCGGAGGGTGATAATTTCGATTTGGCATTGAGTTTTCAGGAAAAAGCGGGTTGTGATGAGATTTGGGAAAAGATCTGCCAAGTGCAAGGGAAAGATCCTTCTGTGGAAATCACACAGGATATAGTCGAGGAGTCTGAAGATGAACGATTCGATGATATGTCTGATTCCGCGCCTCCAATTGAACTACCCAGTTGTGAATTGAGTAGGCTAGAAGATATAAGTGAATTGATCAGTAATTGTTTGAGCTCCCCAATGAGGAAGGAGAAGTTGGCAGCAGCTATAGAAAGTGAAGGCTACATACGAAAGTTGCTGAATTTATTTCACATGTGTGAAGACCTGGAGAACTACGAGGGCCTCCATCATCTTTACGACATTTTCAAAAATATCTTCCTATTAAACAAGAATGCCTTGTTTGAAGTGATGTTCAGTGATGACGTTATTTTTGACGTCGTTGGATGCTTAGAGTACGATCCGTCATGTATAACGCGGAAGAAACATAGGGAATATTTGAAGCAGCAGGCAAAGTTCCGAGAAGCAATTCCGATCCGGAACACAGAACTGCTGTCCAAAATACATCAGACGTTTCGCGTACAGTACATCCAGGATGTTGTCCTGCCAACCCCATCCGTATTTGAGGATAACATGCTCGGTACATTAAACAGTTTCATCTTTTTTAATAAAGTGGAAATTGTGTCATTAGTGCAAGAGGACGAAAAGTTTCTGACGGAGTTGTTTGCTATGCTAACGGACGTTAACACACTAGATTCTAAACGAAGAGACTTGGTGTTATTCCTCAAAGAGTTCTGCAACTACTCTCAGAATCTCCAGCCACAGGCGAAGGAAACATTTTACAAAACACTAACGAATCTAGGGATTCTCGCCGCATTGGAAATAACACTCGCCATGGACGATCAGAAGACCAAGACTGCTTCCATTGATATTCTTACATATATTGTTGAATATTCTCCATCGTTCGTCAGGGAGTACACACTCCAACAATCCAATAACACTCATGAGGTAAATCTAGTAATAAGCAGTCAATTTACAACATTTTTTTTAATTTTCTTTATTTTTTTTACATTTTTCAAATTTAGGATTCATAAATCATTATTTTTACTGTAGTTGAAATAAAAATTTATTTTTCAAGATTAAGAGTTTACTTTTGTACAATTCATATAAGCATTTCAAATTTAACATTAATAAGTAAGCTACATATTAATCATTTTATGTTACAGGACCAAATTTTACTTAACATAGTCATAGAGCAAATGATTTGTGATACCGATCCAGAGTTGGGCGGTGCTGTTCAATTGATGGGCGTGTTAAGGATTCTACTAGACCCTGAAAATATGTTAGCACAAGTGAACAAATCGGAAAAAACAGATTTCCTGAATTTTTTCTACAAACACAGTGTACAAATTCTTATAGGTGAGATATCATTTTTAGTATTGATTAACTGATTACCTATATTGCGTATAGGTAACATTTCAGTTTTCTGGACCTGGTGCAAACCTTTTAAGGTTAAAATCTTGTCTATTTAAAAAAAATCGTGTTTGTAGAATAATGCTTGTAAGTGAAAATAGATTTTCTCTGTTCAGCACCACTATTGGAGAACACAGCACACGGAGAGCCGCAGAAGGAGGATTACCAGACAGTGCAATTACTCGGATTGATTTTGGAGCTATTGTCATTTTGCGTGGAGCACCATACGTACCATATTAAGAATTGCATTTTAAACAAGGACCTTTTGCGAAGAATTCTGGTTCTTATGAAATCAACGCACAAATTCCTCGTACTTTGCGCGCTTCGCTTCATGCGCAAACTGATCGCTCTTAAGGACGAATTTTATAATAGATATATTATTAAGGGGAACCTGTTTGCGCCTGTAGTCGACGCGTTCGTGAGGAACAATGGCAGGTACAATCTCTTGGATTCCGCAATCATCGAAATGTTTGAGTTTATCAAACTGGAGGATATTAAAACGCTCTGCTCTCACGTGGTGGAGAACTACGGAAAGAGTTTGGATGATATCGGATACGTTCAAACATTCAAAACTCTCAAGTCCCGGTATGATCAACACCAAGACAAGCTAAAGGACCGCGATAGAAATACCCTTGAAAGGTTTGCTATAGCCACTCGGCTGCGGATTCTAAGGTGATTAATTTAGTATTTGTTTCAGTGTGCCTTCAATTTTGCGTAACAGTAGATACAGACGAGATCAGCGGCAGCTTGACGAGGAGGAGGAGATGTGGTTTAATGAAGAGGATGATTTTGATGATAATGAAACGATGGTGACTTCAAATACAAGCGATATATTGTCAAAGAAGTTGGACACTGACTTGGATAGTATAGGGAAGATAATTGAAAAGAATACGGACACGAACGGACCGAAGATAAATAATAATTCGTCGCAAAAGGCCACTGTTTTAAATAACAATGCTAATAGCGGTACGGCATTAGCACTCCCGACAACAAACACGGAAAATAAATCGGCCTTATTTAAGAGAGTAAGTTTGGTAGATTTGTCATTGCACATATCCATATGGTATTCTGATCTTTATTTATTTTTAGAGTCTTGTTGATTACGAGGGTGGTGATTCGGATGAAGAAGAAGAAGAGAGTGGCGAGGTGACAAAGCGGGCTCGTTTATCATAGTATCTAATACTGATGCCGACACAGGTAAGTTCACTACAAACTCAAGTGTCGCGGACCTCAGAGTGATCTCATAGTGCGATATGAACGGTCAATTATATAAGACAGTGCTGCTATGCCACACAGTACAGTTCACTAAAGGATTTGTGATACATGCATATATATAATAACAACAAATAAACTGGAAAATAAATTAAAGCTACCGGAGAGCATCCACACAACGAGACGTTCAATTAGAATTTAAGTTGTTGTGTACAGGTTTATTAACTGACTGTTTGATTATAGCACGCAAAAATTGTCAACAAAAAAAAAACAAAAAAGAATTATGTAAATTTATTTGCAGTATAAATATGAGAAAAAGTATCATCTAATATTTATTACTTCCTTTGTAAATGACGTTTTATTTCGATTGTCCTATTGATCATTTTCAATTTGCTGCAATGTTTTCAAGAATATTCATTGTTGAATTTATTTTTTCTTCAATAATTTGCCTTTGACGAACGTAAACAAATACATATGAATAATTTTCCAATGGAGATGATGGTAATCAATTAGAGAGTGAGAATATTATTATGTTATTGATTTCCTAAGTATATGTTAAAAAATGTTTAGTCCAAGGGAAAACTATTTTTACGTATTTATAAACAACAAAACAAATGGATGAATCGTTGATAAAGGATTTTATGTAAAGAAAGGAATACACATTTTACTAATTTCATGATTTTATTGGAGAAGTTATGTGAATTTACTTATAGGCTAAGTAATTAGTTAGAGTCTAGAAGATAGTATCTTATATCTTATAAAAGTGCGTGTAGTGTCAATGAATTAAGAAAAAGTGCTTAGATTGTGGATAAAAAAAATAAAGTACTTCGTACTGTTAATTGATTGATATACTTTGAGTGATCAAAATCACGCAACTGATTTTTTTGTTAATACAAAAAGAAAAAAAAAATAAGATAAAATTATTTATTATTGCGTTAACAGTATGAAGTAACAAACCAATGGAAAAAATAGACTAAACAATTTCATTCTTAACTTTTTATTTTGTATTAAATGTGATGAATAAATTGTGTTATATAACTATTTTTAAGTTCCACTCCTGAATAAAAACGCATACAAAAAAATAACAAGGAAAACAAACAAAACATTTATTTTACTTTTGTTTTGTTTCTTTTCACAGAATTGGATATCAAACTAAGAAAATTTGTAGAATGAGAATGAGAGTAAATTATAAAAAAAATCATAAGGTCTATAAAAAAATGTAAATATATATATTTAATTTATTTATGTATTCGATGTTATTCTCGTCGGATGCACGACTAAATGGAATAGATTTTTTTTATAATGGTAAAATTTATACAAATTGTAATATTATACTATTATTTAACAAAACCTTCCCCTCACTCAATCACAATATACCCTCTATTTTATTTTGTAATCCGCAATTTGTGCAATTGTATATTTTTTACTCGAAATGCATTATTTATTACTTTAAAAACAAGAATGACGACGATGAACGACAAAAGAAAAGAAAGAAATGATGTAACAAATATGGACAGCCTAGTTATATTTTTTATACAAGTCACCGTGTTTTTTAAAAAAGATCGTGCGAGGAGAAAGTATGGAAAGGCTCTATCAAATCCCCCCAACAAAAGAGAAACAAATTAAATAATTGCAACAAATGAACATGTTTTTAAACAAGGAAGAGAACTAAAAATAAACTGTAAAATAAAATTGTACTCGTTATATTTAGGTAATAAATATAAACATTACAAAAAAAAACAATAAATGAAATCATTTTTTCATTCTTTTCCTATGATCCACGTACAACTCTTTCCTCTTCTCCCGTTCTAGCTGGTGCTCTTCCCTGATCCTTTCGTGGAGTTGGCCTAAAACCTCTTCGTATCTGGGCCTCAGGTCTGTTAATTGATCATCTGGGATTTTTATCTGTTTTAGGCTGGGAATGTTGCTGCGCACGAAGCTCTTAAATTTCTCTGCATGCTGTCCAGATGCTATCGTTAAGGCCAACCCTTCTTTACCGGCACGCGCTGTTCTTCCAGCTCTGTGTACGTAAGTCTGTACCACCTTCGGCGCGTGGTATGAAATGATGCAATTCACTTCGCCAAAGTCCATTCCTCTGCACAATAAATCGGTGCCCACCAAGCTGAAATAATATTTTATTTATAAACAATTATATAAATATATATGTATACATAATCAAAATATACGCACATATCAATTGATCCGTCTTGAAAGTCCCTGAGCACCCGACTCTGCGTTTTTTTGTCTTCGTGTACAATATTGCTAATGCTCTTTTTCTGATCGGCGAAGAATAACTTTAATAAATTCGTCAATTTAACCACATCTTCTTTGCTGTTGGCAAAAACCATAGTCCGCTTCAAGTTTCTGTCTACTATCAATTTGTAAAGCATCAGTGGAGCATCGGCATCTTCGCATTCGACGTACTTGTTCTTCAGTTCCATGGGCAACGAGAATTGAGGTTTGTCTTCTTTGAACGTCGATGCGCTGAATAATTTGGGCTGAAACAAATCCACGGCTTCCAGCATTTCCGGATCGTACGTTAAAGTCGCCGAGAACAGAAGCTTCTGTATATGATTCTTCGTCTTCAAGGTGTCCACATTCAACAAATTATTATGTAAAACAGTTTTAGCTACAACAAACAAAATTAAACAACAGGAACACAAACAACAGTTTTAACATACAGTTCATGCTAATATGCTTTTCTAAATATATCAACCAGTTACTGGTATGTAATAGAATATCAGCTTCATCAAGTACTAAGTATTCCAAATGAGATAAATCAAATCCTTTAGAATACTTCAAATGTTCAATAAGTCTGTCTCCAGATGTAACATAAATGTCTACTTTGTTTATATGTCCATAGATAGGATCTAAAATAATAAAAAAATATGAATTATAAATTATTTAAAATGTTTTTTCTCTTTAGATTTACCACTGGCAACCAATAAGCGTTTCTCATCTTCATAACTGGAATTGCACAAAGCTGTTAAATGTGTATCTTTGATGAAATGGTTCAAGGTGAGGCACAATTGTTTGGCTAATATATTTGTTGGTGTCACAATCAAAGCCCTAATCTTTTTTGTCCTGTATTTAAGAAGTGAGTGAACTACAGGTAGAATAAAAGCCAGTGATTTACCACTTCCAGTTGGTGCAGTAACACATATGTCCCTTGGCCTGTAGAAATAATTCATCTTTTCATTCCTTAATAGCCATTCAATTACAGCAACTTGTACAGGGAAGAAGTAAGTTATACCTAATTCTTTAAGTTTTTCTATCAAATATGGATCCAATTGTGTTATGCTTGATATATCGACAGTTAAGTTTTGCAAGTCTTTGGAAATGAGCTCTGGTTCTGTTATCCATTTTGGTAACACACGTTTTACCTAAAGTAGATAGTGTTGAGTAACTGCATTATTGTATAGATTGATTACTATACCTGTTGTTTCTTTTTGAATTCAGCCTTTCCCAAAACAGTAAACCCTTCAACTTCCTCTTCATTTCCATTGTCCTCTTTATCAGATGTTTCTACATCTTCAATATCCACCAGATTTTGTTTTACTCTTTTCAAATGTTGCTTTAAATTTTGATCAGTGTTTAATTCAAACTCCTCATCAGATTCAATATATCTTAAAAAAAAATGTATTAATAAATGAATTGATTCGTTTTCAATTAACTTTGACTTACCTTTGAATTTGAAATAATGTATCACCCACATCCATCTTTAATGCTAATAACAATTGAAAACAATACCATGAAATAAAGTTGTTTAAGGTTATAAAATAACTACACGTGCATTGATATTTAATTATTTGAACTATTAGTTCAAAAAATGAATTCTGTTTAGATGCTAGAATGTGTAATGTTGGTTGCCTATATGATTACTAGTAAATCATTGCCCAAAAAATATATTGTGTATTGCGATATAGGCTAACTGTATCATCGAAGTTGAAAGCCTCTAGGACAGCGGTCGGGGAACCGGGGTAAATTACCCAAAATGGGGTAAAAATGAAAAATGAAATTTTTCGAATTTCATCTTTCCAAACTCAGAGATCGGTTCTCTGACTACTTTTCAAATCTTGATGTACAAACTGTGAATTGGGTTGTAGATCCTTTTAAATGTGAAATTACTAATATCTACAACAGGATATAATTGTAATACGCTTCATATCGCAATGGCTAACTAAACTCTTTTCCGAAGAGAAGACATAAAAACAAATCTATTATATGTGAGGTCTGGTACTTAGGGTCTACGTCAATATTTATTATATGAATATTAAACTATTGTTACAAAAGTAGAAGATTGAGTTTCCTTATAATTTGTGAGGTAAAACAGGTTTAATGATACACGCGCGCGATTGAAAACAAAAAATGCTATAGTATTTGTTTTGAAATGTATTAAGTACTATTTTGAAGAAAAAAAGTGTATTCTAATAACTTCAAGGCAAAATAAAAAATATTAGAAAAATAACTAATATAGTCCATGTAATATCGGTACTTTTAGTGTTAATTATTTTCAAAATTTAATAATAAATCATGTAATTAAGTTGAATTATTTTTTTTTATTGATAAAGTTGATTAAATATACACATAAACGTCTGTTTTTGAATTAAAATGTATTTGATTTAAATAGACAATTTTCGAGTACATTTACATGATATAACACATAATATATACAATTTTATAATATAATATATAGTACATAAAATGTCTACTGTAAAAATGGAACATACAACATAAAACGTGTTTAACGTATATATTTGAATGATTTAAACTTCTCGTGAAGGCCACATCATAACTCGCAACGTAACAATTTTCAATTAATTTATTGTCAATGATGAATAAATGGATTTTTGGTAATTATCTGTAATTTTGTAACAAACTGAAATAAAAAACATTTATAGTATAACTAGATGCAATTTACTTCTTCATTCTTAAACATTTTACATTAATATATATATATATATTTCCCATACAATTTAAAAATGTCTATATACTGTTATTTTTTAGTCAATTAATTAATTTATATATATATATTATTTATTTTTATTATCCTCAGATAACATTAATATTGGTTACATTTGAGCAAAATTATTTACATATATACACACGCCTTTGCACGTACTGCTAAACATTTCCAAGTTATTGGACGGATCCAATTAATTACAACTAAATTCGAATGTAAATACATATGGCAGTTAAATAAAACATTTACATATTTTTTTAAATATATATATAGTTTTTATATATTTATATATAAATTAATATCACACATCTAACTTATATTTGAATACATTATATTTCATATGAAGCTAATTGATCTTTAAATATTTATGAAATTAATAGAAGTAAAAGATTTAATTCAAACGAAAAACAAATATCTCTTTCTCTCTCTCTCTTATTTCATTATATATATATTTATGTTATACATCATTGATTTCACAGCTATAAAAAACTTTTATACAATATTTTTTCTCCTCTCACCAACAAATTCGGATTGTTAATAATGAATGATTGAATGGAATGGGGAAAAAGTTAGAGGACCAACGGTCCCTTAAGATAGTTCGTTGTGACACTAATACATCCAAACACATAGTTAATTCGGAATGTGCTCACAAAACACTTAAACATTCTTCAGAGTTCTCTCTTTCTATATATTTAATATGTAGGTACTTTTAATTTCTTATCTCTTTTTTCGTTTTATTTCGCTATTTTTTTATTTCCTTCTCTTTCCTCAAATTCCTATTGAGGATTTAATGAAACTCCACTTGACTTGGTCAGAACCTAGTGGCCGTAACGACGCGTGGGAGCGTTGAAGTTATTGTTGGAGCCCTAGTAGATACATCTAGTAGTGGCTGAAGGGCCTGAAATATGAGAAATAAAAGCTATTAACATATTTGTCACGATGTATAAGCGAATATTTCATTTAAAAAGTGGTTTTGAAATATACTCCTAACAATCGTTTTAATCAATGTGTTTAGTTTTATGTCAATTTAATTGCATGCAGACACTTTTCAATAAAACAACGTTTCAATGATAATGCACAAAAGTTGTGAAGAGTATACTTACGCTTGCGTCCCTGGGAGTTATCAATGGTGTCTCGGCGTTCATTGTATCATGATGCAAATGAGAATCATCTCTGATCTGGCGGGGCATGTAAGTGGGAAGATGCTGCATTCCCTGAAAAGTAGAGGGATGAGGTGGGCTGAGTGGTTGCATGCAGGTCGGAATCCGTTTGTTTATATCGATCTGAGCATAGACGGTGGGCTCCTGTCTTCTTATTACGGACATTGGAATGGCCTGTTGGTTGTAAATGACGTGCGGCATTTGCTGGTTGCCAATGGATAACTCTGCGTATGTTATTTCGTCGTTCTGAAAACATAGTCGAAAGCACTTGTTAGATGTAAATATTAATGATATTTATCTGTACGCGCTTACCGTCTTGTAATCGTATGGGATGTTCCTTAATTTGGGACTCTGCATCCGGCTGTACGTGCGTAACGAGGCGTTGTTGAGCCGCTCGAAGGCTCGTTCTTCATCCTGATAGTCCTCCTCCATGTTATTTTGCGGTATTATATCAGGGTTTTTCTCTTCCAGACTATCAATGCTGTCATTAAGATCTTTGTTCAAGGGTTCAGTGCTGGCTTTGTCACCGCTTCCGGCCACACACCTCCTCCCCGAAGAGGAAAGCCCGCCGTCATCGTAGTCCTTATCGTCATTTTCGCCGCCGCCGCGTAATCGTATCACCACCACTATTATGATGGCAACTAATATTAATGCGGCAACTACTCCGATTAGCGCACCCAATATTGGCGTAATGTGAAGAAAGACAGGCGTCCCAGCTGCAAGCGAACGAAAACAAAGTGAAATTAAGCATAACCAGAGCTTTGATGCAATCAACTGATATTTTAATTGAAATGGAAAAGAGAAAGACCAAACCACCGTATTTTGATGTTGCACGAATGCCGGATTCTTACCGCCAGTGCGGGTCGCTGCTGAAGGGGCGTAAATAATGGATGCATCGCTTATAACGGACTTGGCCGTCATCGTCCTAACAAAAAGGAGCAGAGTATCGTGGTCGCGAGGAAGCGTCGTGATAGTAATAGCTTCCGGTGTGTGAGAGGTCGCCGTGCCCAGGAGCAGTCTAGTGTTGGCATCATAGACTTGTAATAGAAACGTCGAAAACTCTTCACCTTCATGCCTTTCCGGCGCCCGACATTTGATTTGCAGATAATACAGGGTCTGCTGTGAAACCGTACAATTTTCCGGGGGCGTCGGTTTTCGCGATTTTAATGCTTCTAGTAAAGAAATATGCAAATAATAATAAACTAACAAAAAAATAAATAAATACAAAAATCAAAAGGCGCCGAATAAAATTGGAGCAAGGAAACGATTACGTGAATGTTTTAATTACCTGTATGTTTTTCTGCTGATTTCAAAGTGAACGCTTGCAGATGGTTCAGAGCGCTGCGACCCTTCTTATTTGCGGCGTACAAACCAATGTCGAAACCTAATCCGGATTCGAGGCCGGCCACGGTGAAGACAGGACTCGGCGATGTCACGTTGCTCACTAATTTGCGGGATTGGGTGTCGTAGACCTCCATAACAAACACTTGGCGGAGTCCGCCGTCAAAACCCTCGATGCACTCGACGTGAACAGATTCTACTGTTTGGTTCTGTATAGTGCAATTTGACAAAGCATCCGGTTTTCCTGTATGAATTGTATATTTATAAGTAATTAGTGTTGGCTGGATATACGACAGGGTGGTTGGTGGTGGTAACGGATAGAACGTGTTAAATGGCCTATGAGTAATTACCGGCGGGATTTATGTAGAAAATGCACGGCTCCTTCTGGACTCCGATCTCGTTGCGACCCCAGCAGAGAAGGGTGCCGTAATCTAATTCGGTCATCGGAGTGTATGCGGCCACACTTCGGGACCGGTCCGTAGCTACATGGGATTGGGGTATATCAATCGCTTCCGCGCTATTATTAAACTTCCACGTGAACTGGATATCCGTGGGATTGCCTTCTAGTTCGCAAGGTATTCTGGCTATCTCCTGTCGAGCCACCCCGTAGATTTTCGGTTGACCTGGCCTGCATACCGGAGCAACTGCAATACATTTTCTTTATTTTATCTTCTCGTTTCATTACCATAATACAACTAAACACAGATCTCATTACAGTGTTCAGTTATACATTTATTTCATTAATTCCAGCATATTTACTAAAAACTATAATTGATTGATTGAATATTTTCTGAAACCGGCGCAACCACTAAATCATATAATTTTAAATATTGTTTAAAGTTTATAACGCAGGTGTTCCATATATAATTATTTTTATGAATGGAAGTATTAAACATGTAATATATTAAATGGATCGATTATTATTTAGTAAAATAATTTAGTTGAATTACTAGGAAAAACAATATTTCTTAAAAATTGATAAATCAGATAAAATGGCATTAAGTTTAATATAAATAAAAGTTTTTTTTTATTTGAAAGTGCAATAGTGAAAGTGATATGTGGAAATAAATCAGTAAATCTTGTTTTGAGTACCTATGACTGGGAATAACAAACACATTCATCATGTTATTTGGACACGTCTGGACGGACAGGCTCTTATGGTTGATTCGGATATTGTGGATGATGCGGGTGGATAAAAAGCAGAGGGCGTAGGAAGGATAGTCAAATATAGTAATAGCTGAGAGAGGATGAGCTGGTCTTACATTTCACATCGAGCTGAACGGGATTGCTTTCTCCATCTCCCTCATGATTGCTTCCGACACAGGTGTAAAGGCCCGTCCTAGCCCTCGTTACAGATTGCAGAACGAGACTCTGATTGCTGACTATAGTTCCAAGCGTGGCATTGCTGAATAACATTTTGCCCTAACCAAAACCATACTCGTTAATACATTATGCTTTGTTTGTCATTTATCAACACTCACATTGTGTCTCCAGCTAACACGGTAGACCCATGGATTCGATTTGATGTTGCACTCGAAGTAAACGTCTACACCCTCCCTGATAACGCTTCCATTTAAGTTGCTTCCAAGTTCCAAAGTCACCAAAGGAACATCTGGAAGATTTAATAATTAGGCACTCAGACTATGAACAAGCAATTGTTTCTTAATGAACTAAATTGGAATCGCGCAGCAAGGACACCTTTTGAGATAGTCGAGATTATATAATTTTCGAGTTCGAACTTACGATGTATATCCAGTTTCCAGCCGTCTTCTATACCACTATCCGGAATAAGTTGCTGCTGTCCGCGGCATGACAAATATTTACCACCATCGTCGACCGACGGAACAAATGTTAACACACTGGTAGTTGTATTGCTATCCGGACTCGTCTAAAGCAATAACACAAAAAATAAATACATACACTACAAAAAAAAAATACAAAACAGGATATAATATCCACATCCATTTGGCTCCTTTTTGCAGGCGTTCAATAGAACTACGCTACACGCAATTTTATAGTCGGCCATATAAACCGCGCGTAATGCTATTTTTATCCTTTTGCCAAACGTTGGTTCTGATAATTTAAGATCTGATTGTTTTAATTAAAACGAAACAATGGGAAATGTACCATTTTTCGTTGGCATTAGTTTTTATTTATTGTCCTGTTTGTGCCCATTAGTATAACAGTGTCGCATATAGACAAGCATTAATTACTTCAAATATTGTTATTACGGAAGCTGTTTTCATGCGATTGTAGTAGTCTTCACAGAAGCAAAATTTAATCATTCTTAAACTTATATTGAACATACATTATACAATTATAGTAATAAATTATTGCAAAATCACTCATTTTAATTAGTAAGAAATTCCTAAATCAAATAAATAAATGAAAAAAATGAGACAAAAATAACTCTGAAGTTTACTATTAAAGACGAAATCATTCAGACAATTTTTCAAACTGTTCAAAGTCAAACGACGAATAATATTAGTATCATTTTGCTAAGCATTCGAAAATGATAAAAAAAACTAATGTAGAAATGAAACCACAGCAAAACTCACTTTAGGAGCAATATATTTCATATAATAATATCATAAAAAACACACAAAAAAGAACATATATAAAATACAGTCGGGATCAAAGGGAACGAATAATATAAACGTCTGTTATTGCGTCTTAGTTACTGAGCCCACAGAAGATATTGCAATACATGTTTCCTCGATGAGCATTCCTAATGAATTATTTATGAATATGTTTTATAAATTCAGTTAATTATACGAATCTGTCTGTGTTTATATACTTTCCTACCATATAGTAATGTATTATGATGTGGCGAAAGGCATTCTGTGAGATGGTAGAAGGAATATAAATGCATGGAGGTGAGAGGCGTCGCGACAATATTTCATTTCGCCGTCAAAGTAAGCATTTTTTATTGTGGAGTTCGCGAGCGTGCCTTTTTAGATAAACAGAATTGCACTGTCAACTCTCGGCCGTGCGCAAATTAGAAAAATGAATGATTGTTCCAGCCATATAAGCATTCAAGCTGACATTCGGTCCTGAAGAACGGAACGATGATGTAGATGCAAGTGCACGAATAAAAAAATATTGTTAAGAAGAGAAATTATCAATCGGAGCGGGCGCACTGCATACGGAATTCAGGGCGCGTACACTATTACTTTTCTTATCTGGCATATAAAAGTGGTGGGGTGTGCGTGTGTTTATATATAAAATAGCAGAAGCATCATATGGAAGTTTCAAATCACATTTTCTGAAAATACCCCGGACGTGCTACTGTTATATTCTATACAGACTGAGAGATACGATCACAATATCATATTGCGAAAGAAGGGATCAAAACTTCCTAGCCTGTAAACATGAAGAAAAGCTTCCTTTACTATTACATCCTGCAACTGATAGCGCCAACTTTGACCCGCGTTTCTTCTAAACTCATGCAACAGAAAATATATCTTCTTTCTAACACTCAAAGAGAGATTATTATTCCATAATATTTAAATATTTAATTACATTGTTTTTAATTATTGAATATTTATGAAGAACAAAAAAAACATTGTTAAATTTACAAATGAGTAGTTTTATTTTATGTTTATTTCAAGAACTTAATAGTAAACATAATTTATGGTACACATTCAAAGAAATGTCATTCCATTCTAAAGAACTTAATATACCTTTTCAGTCTATAACGAGGTCGGCAAACTGATCTTGCGAGCCTCATGCGGCTCTTTAGGAAATTACGTGTGTCTCTTAAGTAAAATTGAAAATAAAATAATCTTAATATCAAACATTTTTTAAGGCTCTCGAATACTCGAAAATTTGCCGATACTGCTTCTTTTAAAATGTACTAAAATATTTTGAAAACATCCATATTTTAATATGATCAAAATTTTTACAATAACAGCATTAAACTGTGTAATACAATGAAACAAGTAATTACAAAAAAAAGCAAATTGTTTTCATCCATTTATTATGTACAAGTTTGCACATAAAATAGATCCACCTAAGCAAAGTTTTGGATGTGTGAATCCTCCGAGGGAAGGAAACTTTTCACAAGAACAAAATAAAAAGAAATGTCGAGATCGCACAGATTTGTTAGGCGATCCATGTAAAAAAATACATGCAGCAATATCCTGTTCGACGTATTTTCTTGCTTTTATTTGTAATCTTATTTGCTCTGTAGTTTAATGCAGCACACCGTACGGCATTGCTATTTACAACATATTGTAATGAAGTATGAAAATGATGAAACTCACGAACGTGAATCTACATTGCATTATGGTATCGATTTCAACGTATTTTCAGGAACGGAGCTTGGAAAAAAAGTTTGTGATTGCAGCAGGAAATCAAAGTTAGAGTTGTATAATGATCAGAATTGAATTTGTGCCGCCCAATCATCAGGAGCATCAGCAGTTGCAAATTTTATTACAGGAGCAGAGAATGAATCAAGCGTAGCGCACCATTATTAGACGGAGTTCACTAATAAATCTTAATAAATGTTAGGGCGGTCATCGACAAAGCAAACTATTTGAACTTCAGTCGCAATTTAGGTGCAATTTCCGGAAACTCCCATTGTATACGAAACGGGTATATATATACCAACGTACTCGGAGAGACCGCGAAACTTGAAATATTGCGCAACTTGCAAATGAAATACCATAAGTTTCTTCAAGGACATACTTACAACAACAAAACAAACAACAAAAATGGAACGTACCGAGCGAATGGGACATTAAAAATAGGATAAATAAACTTTTGAAAGATTATATTTAGAGTTAGGTTTCGTTGATGCTACTCGGGCCGCATAATAAAATTTATGTAAACTCTGGTCGACGAACTTTCCGTATAAAGTAATATAAAGTTTAGATGTAATTGACTGTACATTATATGCTCATCCCCCGATGTACGTTTTCACTCAAAATCAATACACTAAGACCACATGATTGTTTCCAATATTTACTAGCTTTAAAAGGATTCATTGACAGTAATTATTTTTCTAATAGAAAAATGTGTAACAATATATGCAAAAATATCACATTTTGTTAGTAATAAATATTGTGATATGATAAAAGCATGAACGTGATTTGACTTAATAAGTTATCGCGATCAATCTATTGAAATTAATCGTGATCGACGCAATCAAGCTTTTCCTTGATTATTTAAAGGTTGCTATTTCTATTTTTGCTTATTGAAAAGGTAAAACGCAAATGCAAAATTGTTACCTTAACGCAAAAAAGTTCTACATAGATATTTCTAATTAATTTCGTTGCAATTACTTAATTAATTAATTTAATTGAAGTACTTCATAAAAAAGTAATGTCCTACAGTGGGATTTATTCTGAACTACTCGACGAGAATTCATAATTAATTTAATGAATGATTAAAGTCAAAGTACCTACCTTGACGTATTATTTTATTTGTGTAAATGAAGTTAAAAGGAGCTTTAATATTTAGGTTTGCAAAGTATATTAACGTTAGGACTGCAATTCGATGTAGATTCCTGCACTTCAACGCCGTGTACTTGCTTACGGTAATACTGTCGAGACCTAATATTTATTTCGACCCGAATGTACGCAAAAAGACCGCAACAATAAATCTTCGTGCTTGAAGTTTACTGCTGCAGTATAACTCTACAATATATAAAAACTCTTACTTCCGTTCAATACAATAAATGGAAATTATATAATGAATATTTTCTTAGAAAGTGTCGGCAACTCCTTTAGAGTAATGGCTCTTTGCTCTATCAATTATTATTATTTGTATCAATTATTATTATTTGTAGTGAAAATACGAATAAAGAAATAATATGAATGTGAATATGGGATCCAACGTACGGACAATATTCGCATTAAGAACTTTGCGGTAATAGAATTAACTGTAGGGGCACGCAACTTTGCAAATTCCAAATTGCCAAAGTTGCAGATTAATGCGACATGGAAAATAAAGTGAGCACGTTAGTTGGTTAATATTAATTTACGTAATTTAATTCGTGCCGGTCGCATCGCTGTAGGCCCTATCCCAGAGGATCTTTGGTTTCTGTTTGCGAAGTTCGATTTCCTCCCCAGCGATAGGACGGATGACCTCTTCCATCCCAGGTGCCATAACTGTCACCAATAAACTATACGCTGTCGTTTATACAGGTAATAAATGTCTGCCCGACTTAACATTATCGCTTATGATACACCCCGAAATGTGTATATGATATTTTATTATCACTATTGCCGATTTCGCATTCGGTGCTGCCACCCCTCTACCATCTCCAGTAATTCATCACGTCGTAATATCGCAAAGATTGTAAATCGATAATGCTAAGCATTTGGTTTGTCGAAGGGGAAATTAAATATATTTTTGCATTTTCAACAAATCCAAGATGATCATTAGTTTGCAACTCGTTATATGAAATCTTTTGGCTCGTTTCAGACAAACGTGATAAAGCATGAATAGACATCATCGTAGTAATTACGTTACGTCCGTCTTCTCAACAACAACTGAAGTACGCACGATAATAGGATGACATGACTATAGAGCAATGGAAAAATCCGCGGAAGGAAGTTGCGCACGTTCGTAATTGCATTGCGGTTATGGACTCCCATTATGGTCGTACATTTAGCAACGCTTAAACTTACATGTATTAGCCCTTTGTGCTTGTAAAGCTATCTTTATTATCATATTGCGCCGTAAAACCTTTATTTCATTGCGGTGTAACCGTGATAACATAATAATCATTACTTCGGGTTTAATTGCGCTATAACTTTCTGCCGAATATCTACATTAATACTATGACCAAATTAGTTGCATAAAGTTTTCTTCTTATATTTCATATCATTTTCACTGAAATACGATCACTTGCATTTACTGCAAATTCAGTTAATACTTCATTAGTAATTCACTTCTTTGTGTTTAAATACATTATAATGTTTTGATTATATTTGTTGCTTGAAAGTTCTTTATAATTTTTATTAAAATTCTATATTATCCTTCAGATTTTAAACTTAATTATGTATATAGTTACATACAAATTCATATTTAATCCATGTACCATCCTATATATTTATGAGTGTATTTGTCTCGAGGATTTGACGTTATATACATTGTCTCTTGCATTTTTTTTTGTAGTATGTACTTAAGAATAGGTACTACATAACCTTAGTTACATAAAGCGCTACAGAAATATAAAAATGTGTGCGAGAAAAATTGAAGAGCACTTACCGTCTCTCTGGTGTTTTTCATTTGGACACTTCCCTTCCACCAAGTGATCGTAGGCACAGGTCGGGAGCCGACGACCTCACAGCTCAGCTCATAAGTATTCTCTGCAGATAAGGGCCTGTTCTCTCCCAGCAATTTGACCCAAAGCGGGCGCACTGAAATTAAGCGAGAACACTATGAACAAAAGAAGCGAGAGAAAGACAGAAAAGAGAAAAAAAAGGTGGAGAAAATGGTGGAAGTGGAAAGAGATGAACGGGGTGAGCTTAAATCATCGTCCTGAACACGCATTATAATTAGTTTGCGAATAAAATTTCAACTCGCCTTCGTCGCTGTTGACAAGGGTGAAATCGAGTTAACCATGAGTACACAAAACTGCATGCCAACTGCCGGAAATTTTCAATGGAACGCTAGTACATACCGGGTACTACAAGTATGGGTTTTCTCGAGCACAATTATTTCACATTTCAGAGTGTGCAAGAGAGCGGGAGCGAGAATGAGATAGTCAACGGTGAGAAGTGTCAGCCAGTGACGAGGGACGTTCTATCGTGCAAATGTAATGGTAATCACTCAAGTCCTTTACACACCATTGGTTTCTTTTATGTGGGTATTATACAAGACAGGATAAAATAAATAATATTTTATACATTTTCAATTGAAACTCAATGATTTGCATTTATTGGGAATATTCTTAAAAGTGTTATACAAATATGTCACATAATATTAGATATATAACATGCAGTCCTATCATGTGACCGCAGTACGTGGTGATCATGCTTGTTAACAATAGGCTATGCAGAGTACCAAGGCTTTGAACGGTGCAGTTATATAACATGTCCATGTCCTGTTAATGTGGTGAGCGCCCTCGGATTGCAAGATAGGTGTCTGCTGCGGTTCGCTGCGTTTTACCTTTGACGCCGTTCCCTGTGTCAAATTCACGTTTTAAATTGAAATTCATCCCCGAATAATTCGAAAATACCGAACAAAAATAAAAGAAAACAGAAAGGAAATGAAAACCACCTCAGTGGTGTTGAGGAAAATTTACCAAGAAGTCTTAATTAAAACAAATTATTCGCGGTTTAAATAAATATTTCTGTAGCAGCTTAAAACATCCACTTGTTTAGAAGTTTACAATTAGATACAGCAACTTGTCCCCGCGCCGCAAGGGAAATCTTTCAGCTCCTCTTCGTTCTCTCTCTCTCTTATATATATATATACGTAGGTAGACTCTATTGCCATTACATTAATATGGATCTCGTTTTGGTCCTGGACTTTAATCGTAAATACATATATTCATAAACTATCCCTTTATGTACGTTACATGCTATACGTATGCATGCATTTAAATTCAAATTGTCCGGAACTACCAAAAACTTGTAATGAACCCAATTTGCTGGCCGATTACTTTTAAAAGGTCTCTCCGACCATGCCACCCCCAAACAACTCCCATGCATACACTAAAGTTATTATCGGTCGGTTTTAATGCCTCCATGATCCGTCCCTAGTTAGTTAGATAGTACATAGTCATTCAATTAAGGGCGGGAGCGAAAAAGCTGTTCCGCTTCACTTAGTGACAGGTAACTATTAGGTTAACTCTTAGTTATATAGACACTTAATTAAATTAGAATAAATAGTTTAGATACTCCTCAGTATAGAGAGGGTCTGCCATTCAAAGCCCAAATTAACTTTGTCGTCTACCCCTTCTATCACGGCGCAAATATTGCTACTATATTCTAAAGTCAATTACAGCCATAGCGAACGCATCCCTTTTTGTAATTTCCGTTTTATCCGAGATTTAAATTCATTTAATGCGCAAAGCTTTACGTTTAATTTTGAACTTAATCAGACAATTGAGGTCAGCTGTAACGCTGGATCCATCGGCATCGCATAAAGTGCAACGTTTTACAAAGATTGTTGTAAAAAGTTGTTAATCATGTAAAAAAACCATTTCCATTCAACAACAGTAATAATGATCAATTAAAATAAAATTTACAAATGATCATCACAATTTATTTCATTTATGCTTTTTTTTTATTCATGTAACGTAATATAAATTATAAACAAAATGGAAATATTGAAAATATGAAATATTTAAATTTCAATGAACGTGAACAAAATATAGTAAAAACAAAATTTTCCCTATATTAAAAAACGTTTCATGGTTTTAATCTGTATAATAGTTTCTAAACAATATAAATTTTGTCACAAAAATAACTTTGTCAAAAAAAAGTAGTTGGATTATGTGTTGAATTAATTAATTCGTTGTTGTTTTTATTTAGAAAAATAACGTACAGTAAGTTTTTGATTCGATTGAAGAAGCAGACGTGTTCGTAACGGTGACTCATAAAAAAGGGCAAAGCGCTTACACAGAATGAAGGTTTAATATTGAATTGAGCTATTTGCATAATTATGAAATTTCGGTGGAGTCGCCGGGTCCTCGCTTTGGGCTGCTGCATAAAATATGAATCCGGGTCTGGGCCCATCGCCTCATCTCACACGGAAAAATATTATTGCTTACAAATGGGGCCCAACGTTTTCGGATCGAAACTTCCCTCGCAACTTCCATAAATGTTACGGTCAGTTTCCGAACTAACAATGCAGAGAGATGGTGGGTGGGTAAAAAACACACACACACATACACGAAGTGACTGGGGGAGTGTGTTTTACGATCCTGTAGGCGGCCAACTTTCGAAAACTTTTCATATTTCTTCGACGCGCACAAAAAATATCTATCGGGTCGAACATGATTTGTGTGTCGTAAAATAGTCGGGGACATTTGTAAAATAGGAAGAAAAAGTACGAGTATGTTACACGTGTATGTATCCAAAGAACTGAGCATATTTAATTTCTTTGGATGAGCTTTGTGAAGGGCAGCAAAACATCGGGTCGGTCATTAAGGTTGGTGAGCTTTGTTTAAAATTAGTTCGGATTAAACTGACTGAATTTATTACATCGCACTCTCATTAATTAAATTGCCCTTTGCACCCTCCGTCATTCACCATTTTATACATCCTTCTGTTGTCATTCATTAACTAATTTGTTTCTACTTTCCATTGATATTTTAAATTTGTATTTTGTAATTATGACTATTTTTGCAATTACTTTATTGTTAATTTTTTTATTCGTATTTATTAATACTTGATACTTGAACTTTGGAAATATTATTTAAAATTTTAACTTTTAAAAATATTATTTCTTTCTTTCTTTTAGTACAGAAAATTCCGATCAATTATTTCTATTGTGCAGAAAACTTCTAACCAATATAATGCGATTTCAGAAGAACGTAAATAAAATGGATTACGTACATTGATAAAAACATAAATCGGCTTTCGATCAAAAGCTTGTTATATTCATGTTGTAAACTTTTTCGTCACTCGTATTTCTTGTTTTTTTTTCTTCACTTCTTTTGTACAATATAATAATATAAAAAGAACAGACAATATGTGGTGAATCGCATAAAATACGACTGTTTTTAAGTTTTAATATAATAAAGAACCGCAAGACTCCGAAACAACCAACGTAACGAAATTACACGAATTGTACGCGAGTTTTATTAACTTACGTTTCGTAACCGGTAATTGAAGCAAATAAACCCCGTCGGCATTCCACATGCATAAATTTTGTCCTTTTTTTTGTTGCAACTTAATCATTTAAATTGTGGAATTGTAATTGAATAAAAAGGGGTCCCTTGTCATTGCTGATGATTTGGGTATCACCTTCATAGAGTGGAATTGGTTGTAAGCTGATCGGTTAATCCTTTAGGATTGAACCCCTATAGCTAGTGTTCTGGGTTCACTTAATAACAATGATGCGAATACAACGGTGCAACTGTTCAGAATGAGATATTGTTAAATATTGAACGAAGGTAGAATAATGGGTTTTGATCGATAGTTAATCTACATAATGTAAAAATTTCATTCTTTTAAACCATAGGTTTTAAAGTTATTGATTGTCAAATGTAATCACCTATAAAGTACTCGAATTATAAGAGTTTTTCTATAAAATTTGATTACATATTTGATATTTCCCATTTTACAACAACAATATTGTAATTTAAGTGAAGTATACCGTCGTAATTGAACTGAATGTATATTAAATTTATATTAAAATCCATAGGATTTAATTGATCGAAAAGCAAAATATCATGTTTTAAATAATATAAATATTGCTAAGTTGGGTTAGTTTCGATTGGATTGGAGTCAGGAAACGATAAGTTTTGCCTCTTTTACGAAAATAAATCGATGAGTTATGGAAAACATAAGTTTACCTATCGTGAACACACATTTTCCATTCGTTTCGAGTGGAGGAAAAGATTATATACACTATCAACAGCTCCAGCCTCGCTGCAATACATCTCAATGCTTAGACTGGCGTCAATCCATCAACGACACGACACCTTTACAAATGACTCTGCAGCAAAGTTCAGCAGTTTATTTTTCCTTTCCACTCCTCTCGAATCATTTTTATTTACTTAAATAAACACACCGAAAGCGAGAAATCTCCGATATTATAAATTATGTAAATAGGGGAGTCATTCTAATATCGATGTAAAAGGTTTTCGCTGTTGGGCTTTATCAGTCGTCAACAATCCGGCGTTGAGGTTCTCGAAGAAATATTTTTAAATCCAGTAAGCTCTCTGTATTTCGGCGTGGAGGGAGCAACATCCCAGTTGGTTGCTGGGGTGGCGCGGGTGGATCGCTCGTAAATAGGGAAGTTGCGGTGGTCCGGAAAACCGACGAAACAAAACTAGTTTTGGTTTACTGGATGCGACGCAGTGCCCCGAATTAAACGCGAATTGCAAACAATAAGTTGCAATTTCTTGTGTAATTAAATGCACACAACTGCCGCTGCAATAATTTACTTAATTAAATATTCGGCTTCGTGCGTTTTATAATTTAATACTTCAGCTGTTTTAAATTTCAAACAGTTTCTTCCTTTTTGATTTGAGGTTTACCTTAATTGGAATCTTGACCATGCGGTTTACAATTGTGTCTGCAAACTGATAAAATCATAGCAATTTCATCAAAATATTTTTTTGGGAATATTGCGTTTGAGAAAACTTAGTTATAGAGTTAAAAAATATTACTGTCTCGTCAAACTTGTAAGTATACTAGTTTCGTTTCATGTTTCCTACTGCTTTTTGAATAGTTATTACAAT